TGGGGAGGAGGCAGGATCTCAAGTCAGCATCTTCTCTAGGATGTGCAGGGTGACAACCCAGGCAGGGTGCATTCCGTGTCACCGAGGGAACAGCAAAACCTTGGACAAAATCTCCCTCACTATTAGGATGCTTCGGTGGAGGGCTGGCTGACATATCCTGGAAGGATGCCCATTTCTATCCACCCAGAGGCACTGGGGGATTGTTTTTACAAGAGTCTTATCTTGCTGGAGCCTATCTATCTACATCATTGCCTCGGCCACGCAGAAAGACTGCCTGAAAGAAGAAAAACAGTAAACTTCGGATGCTTGCGTTTTCCGTTGCCCAGATGAAATATTAGCACTGTCATCATAACTGTGGCGCTCAGGTAGCCTTTCCAGCAAGCAGTGTGCCGTGAAAAGCTCCACAAGCATGAATTAATCTCACGACACCCCGCAGGGCGGGCAGGGCAGCTCCGTGTCACAGCTGAATGGCAGGGACGGGCCCCAGCAATGGTGAACGGGCAACTGGCAGAAACTGAGCTCAGCACAGTCTCAGAAGCGAGGACCAACCAATCCCTTGGAAATTCAACCCTAAACCTCAATAAAGTTCACATCTTTGGACTTAATAATTCTGTTTCTAGTAGTTCATCCAAAGGAAATAACCCAATATACAGAAGAGCTTTTTACACGAAGGCGTTCATCAAAGCATTATTTATAAGAAGAGCTGTCAAAAACTCCAATATCTAACAATAAAAGCACAATTTTAAAATTCAAGTACACATACATAAAAGAATAATATAAAGCAATTTTAAATCATATTTAAAAGAAAATGCTCATAATGTAATGTTAAAAAGAGAATGATCAGGTTATAAAATTGAATATATATTATGAACACAGTTCTGTAAGAAAAAATTTGCATAGAAAAAATATTGAAAGGACGCAGGCCAAAATGTTAATAGTGGAAAGCTTCATATGGCAATACTATGTATGGGTAATTGTTTTTCCTTGTTAGACTTCTGTGTGCTTTTCAAATTTTCTTACAATGAGGAGGTATTACTTATAAAAGGGGAAAAAATAAGTTTTTTGTTACAAAATAGTATCCAAATGATTAAAATCATTTTTAAATTACATGCGCTGAAAAAAATTTAAAATAATGTGAAACTTCTTTATGCAACAATTAGCCTAAGAAAATCATAATTGGGAAGTTGAATTTGCAATACGTATCCATGTGGGTTTACCTACATTCACACAGGAAGCAAGACTTAAGAGGAGACTTCTAACCACACAGGTGGGTCAGTGGGGCCTTGGAGAGTGGGGCCTTCCAAGCTCCCACCACCAGGCACAGTAACTGCATGTACTGCAAACAAGCAATGCGCTTGCCAGGCAAACACAGCTTCCCACAGTCTCCCAGGCTCCCTTCCCAGCCAGGCTGCAGCCCCTCAGTCTTTATTAAATAGGAATCTTGTACACCCCCCACTATGAGAACTAAAACATAAAATATAAATAGACATATTTTTTAAAGTGGAGGTATGGTTAACTGTATAGTAGCTTTTGTCTTGACCTAGAACAAGATTTAAAGCTGAGGAAAAATGCCTTAACCATTCACCACTTAAAATATCTAAAGCAAGGCTCCTTTCCACTAGCCTAAAGAATCAACAAAATCAGCCCGGCAGGGCATGGCTCAGCGGTTGAGCGTCGACCTAGGGTCCAGGCGATTGAGGTTCGATTCCCGGTCAGAGCACATGCCTGGGTTGTGGGCTCGATCAATGACTCTCTCATCATTGATGTTTCTATCTCTCTCTCTCCCTCTCCTTTCCTCTCTCTGAAATCAATAAAGATATATTTTTAAAAAAAGAATCAGCAAAACCAGTCTATCTTCAATTCCAAAAATGAAGACGTTAGCATCTTTAGTTGCCCTGGGGTAAGAAAAGACTATACTCAAAAAACACATGAAAAGCAAACCTAAGGGGGTGGGCACCGGCCTCCTACTCAGCTTCATCTAAGACAACAGTTTTAGCTAGCTGCTTGGGCAGGGACACAGGGCCAGCTCTTTTATCCTACACAACAAGTAACTTTTACCAACTATGTGGGCAAAGAAAAATGAGAAGAGCAGGCAAAAAATAAAAATGATGAGCCGAGTCCACTGGGACCCACCTCCAGAGAAGGCCGGGTACTTACAACTCCTTTATTTTACCACTGGTTATTTCCTAGAGATATCGGGAAGCTAATACCTGTCCCACAGGTATTATAGATACTGTGTCCAGCTCTGATCACTAACATTCAACACTTGACAGTTTCTTTAAGAATGGGCAGATCAGTTCATTCAATCATCCTTCTTGCAGGAATGGGACGAGTCTGTTCCTTTTCTCACGAACTGACTCTCCCAACCCATCTGTCACCTCTAAACACACTCTCGGTACAGTGCCGACTCTCAGTGCTTCCCAGACTTTCATGTGCACTGAGCACCTGGGGATCTTGTTAGGATGCAGGTCCTGATTTAGCAGGGTGAGGTGATAAAGACCAATTCAATCCCTCTCTCTGAAGGGGAGGCCCAGGCGCTAGAAGATTTGGAAAGGCTACCAGCTTGCTCTAAGTCCTGGCTGCTCTGAGTGCGGCCCCCACACCAGCGACACCAGCACACTAACCGGGCATCAGAGTTGTTGAAAAGGCTGACAGAGGTCACACAGGTGAAGCGTGCAGTAAGTTCTCTAAAATATTAACCATGGTTTGTTATCTTACTACCAGTAGTATTATGACTATTATTCAGGGAGTCTGATGTAACTGAGGAGGCCAAATTTGTAAGGTAACAGGGTTCTTGATAAAACAGAGTTCTTGAGTTAAAGGAAGAGAACGTATGAGCGGGGAATAGCTGCAAGAGGGTGGCTGAACTAACCTTGCAGCAAGGGTGCTTCTCCTACATATGAGTGTGTAGGGAGGTGACGTGGCGCCCTGGGCATAGCCCACACCCGGGCAGTAAGAGTCACAATAACAGCTGCCATTCGTGTGGGCCTGAATTAATGTGCCAGGCACTGTCCTAACTACTGAGAATTCTCCAGGCAGAACCCAGGGGTTTCCATTACTCAGAGGCTACTGCCCCAGGGCCCCAGACTCAGGCCAGCGTGGGATCCTGATGGGGTGGAGGAGTCCTTTCCCTCGGGGCAGAGGAGCTGCAGAGCACCCCATCGGTTGGTGAGGACTGGACACGATGCCTAAGTATGAGCCATGACAGAACAGCGCCAGGCTCAGAAGGGTGAAGAGACTGTACCCAGAAACCCACCTCTGGGCTAGTCTACATTCTGAACCTGGTGCTACTCTTCTGCAGGTTCGTTCTGTCCCACCCTCTCCTTATCTTATCTCACTCCCTCTTCCTCTCAGAACTGCTTCTAGGAGCTTCTTTCCATGCACCTCCCAGATCCCCCTCCTCCCAGCTATCTCCTGGAAAATGGGAAAGAAGAGTTCGAGGGCAGTGTACCTGGCCACTTCAAGGAGCTGTTTCGTGTCACGGCCCTGCGTGTCACCCTCTGCCCAGAGGGGGAGGTGACATTCCATGAAGGAACAGCTCTTGTGACTGAGACAACGGAAGTGTACCCGTTAAGGGGAGAGAAAAGGGCACGGCTTTGAGCCAGCCAGGCTGGAAGTCTGAAGATAGGTCTAGACAGCTCAATTTTGTGTGCTCTTTTGAACCTACATTTAAATAGCTGTTTCACTCATGTTTCAATGGGCCATCACCACTCTAGGAGGACCTGCCCTAGTCTCCAGGACAGAGGCCCTGTGTTACAAATGCAGATGCTTAGAGATCTAAGGAGTCTGCTCAAAGGTCTGAGCACAAGGAGCACCAAAGACAGAACCAGGCAACCTGGTTCCATGCTGTGACTCCACATCAGGAAACAGCCGAGGTCTGCAAAGGATCAAGATGTGTGTCCTGCATCTCACATATGGTGTCTCATTTTCCCTACAGAGCAGCATCGTGAGAGCTGCACATGACCGTCTTGATTTACAAAGGAGCAGCAGGAACTAGGAAGGAGCTCAATGACTATCCAGGTGCCGCGCTCTAGTCAGCAGAGAAGGCAGAGTCCAATCCAAGTCCGCGTGGCTCCCAAGCCTATGCCACCACCTCTGTCCAGGCACCTTAACAACCTGGCCAGCCCTCTCCACAGCATGTGGAAAGCTACAAACTTTTAGAATTCACAGGAGCAGAGAATATGGTCACTTCTTGTGATTATTCTACCATCTTCCCTTTAAAAAAATAACAAAAAAACAAACCTCTTATAGAAAAATGTTTTCCCTGAATTCCATGAGGTTCTTCAACTTCACAGCCCCCATTTTATAAACAAGGAGCCAGAGACACAGAATAATAAGTGGCTTCCTGGGGTATTAAGCAAATCAGACACAGAATCAACCAGGACCCAAATTCAAAAGCCCCTGTGTCTCGGGCCATGGCTCTGGGGCACCCGCCAGACTAAGACGTTCCCTGCAAAATGTTCAAACCGGCAGGGGGTAAATCAATGTCAAGCAGTGATGCCAGGCTTCGCCCTGAGCTCATTCATGGGAGAAGCATCCTCACTGCAAGGTTAGTTCGGCAGAGTTGCCACCCCACCACCATTTGCACACGAATAAATCTGAGGAACAGAACTGAAGATGGGGAAGCAGAGGTTACTCATCAGCAATAACTTCAAGAGCCTTCCCAGTTCTATAAAGAAAAACATCCTTATACACTGCTCTGCAAGCAACAGATTTCCTTGAGAGAACAGCGAATTGCAAGATATTGTGTGTACTCTGTTACTCAACAAAAGCGGGATCGTAAAATGTCAATGGCTTTTTCTAAAGTCCTATTTAGGGAGAAGGAAAGCATGCTATTATTTTGTCAAAATCAGTCACCACGGCAGCCTGAGCCCCTTGACTCTGCATGGCCTTTAGGTCATCAATGCAAATGCGCATTCATTTTATACAGTTTTTTGGTATTTCAGTACTTATCAACTAAGTTGAAATAAAGTCTTCATTTAAATGTGGAGAAGTCTCACCTGTGAAAGCATTTGTGGCCTGAAAACCAGCTTCCGGCATACTGCTCCCCAGACAAGCCTGTGCTCCGACTCTTAAGCTGTCCTGTCAAGAGGAAACCGCCTGGGCGAGGCCTCAGGTCACTTCCATCTTAGCTTGTCGGAGTCCATTGCTTTGCCCCGTCCAGCTTTTGGTAGCATCCGATGCCCACCTGCCCTGCTCCCAGAGGGCAGGTGGTGCCCGGGACAGCACCCAGTCCAGCGGCGGCACACTTGGGGCACACAGTCAGGTCAGCCGTCCAGCCAGAGAGTGGAGGCCATGGTGGGCCCGGGATGGCGGAGGCTGTCCGCTGAGACCTGCGCTCCCACCTCAGAGCGAGGGCGTCGGCGGCGGGGCAGCCAGCATCCTCCACGCTCTGCCCCGCTCCGGTGGAGTGCGGAAAGGCCTGGCCTGCTGCTCTCTGCTTCGCCTCTCCCCCAGCTGAAATTAAAAAGAAAGAGATCATTTTCCTGATGCTCTGCAGGAACATTAAACTTAGTAGACCCACAGAGGCCAAAAAATAAAATATTAAAAGCCCCCCGGAGCCGTGCTCACGACCACACTGCAGGCACCGGGAGAGCTGCGGGGAAGAGGCACCTGCCGCACCTTTCCGAGCGCCTGTGAAGGGCGGGAGGGCAAGACAAAAACGGGGCTCGCTGCTCCGGCTCCGAGAACGGCGACAAAGGCCATGCGATCCCACAGCGTCCTTCCCAGGTACTCAAAGTTCACAGGCACCCTGAAGAAGCCCGTTCCCCAGGCTCATCCCGAGGTCTTAAAGTGGGGTCTGAGGTTCATATCCACCGCCCTCGGCACTCTAGGAAGGACTAGGGCTGAGAAATTTTAAAAATGACTCTTAAGCAGGGAAACAAAGGCTCATATTAATTTTTTTAACCTTTTTTCTTTTTAAAAAATATATATCTTTATTGATTTCAGAGAGAAGAAGGGACAGGGAGAGAGAGAAACATCAATGACAAGAAAGTCATTGATCGGCTGCCTCCTGCAGGCCCCCTGCTGGGGATCGAACTGACAACCCGGGCACGTGCCCTGACGGGGAATCGAACCTCGATCTCCTGGATCCTAGGTCGATGCTCAACCGCTGAGCCACGCCCGGCCAGGCTCACATTAATTTTTTTAAAAGAGTGGAAGGAAACACAAATTTAATCTACAAACTATTCCATATATATATCACATTAAAATAACATTTTAGAAAATACTTTCCAATATTCCAATGTTGTTATATTACACAAGAAGCAACATTAACAACAAGAATGTTAGAAGCCCCAAAGGACCAGACTTTTAAAACAGAATCCTAAATATTAATCTCCAGTATTGGAGAAAAAGAAGCTGTTTTCCATTATTATCACTTCATCCTATCAATTTATAACTAATTTTTAGGAAATGTAACCTTATTCCTCTTTTTCACTATCAAACTAAAAGAAAGAAAAAAAATTAAGAAAACAGCACGTAACAGAAAGGAATTCTCTATGAAAACCCTCTTATTGCTGTAAATATAAATATAAGGTAATAAAGTAAAACATCACTAATACAAACTAACTACAAGGAAGACTTGATGTATTAATGAAGCACTTTAATTAAGAATTTCCACTGTATTGCCTTCATGAATCTACAGTAACATCTCAGATAAGGTTTAATCTATAGGAGTCCTTAAGTTTAATGAATAGGTAAAATTTTTATTTTAATTAAAAATCATTTATATAAATGGTGGCTTTGAAGCACTTGAAAATGTAGGAAAATGCATGTTTTTTTCTCTGAATTTAAATAGTCCATATAAAATGACCAACACACATATCATCAGCATCCCAAAGTCCAGCACCAACGTCTAAAGCTAACTAATCACATGCATGATAGTTATCAATTTTAGGAAATGGCATTGCCAGATAAAAACAAAAGGCCACCTGGCCTAAAACTTTCATTTTCTTTGCCCTTTTCTATGATGCTCTCAATGCACAGAAATGCTAGACTTTATTTGCTCTCTTTCTTTGAACTCAGAGACAAACTGAGAGTGGTGAGGTTTTTGTTGTTTTATTGTGGCGTTTCTGTTCATGTTTTTTTGTTTCGTTGTGAAAGGCACGCTGGCTCACTCTCTAAGAGATCGAGCTATCCTATATAATATCGCAAATGGCTGTGGGAAAGACTGAGGCAGATGTGGACAGAAATAGAAGAAACAACAAACTTTTTTTTCTTTTACTGTCATTATCACACTCACCAACTCTTAACTTTACTTCTACTAAAACAGAGGTATGGCGACAGTTCATTTCCAGGTCTCAGGCATGGTCCTGGCCAGGACTTTCAGAGCACGATGTGTGAGGTTCCCAACAAAGGATGGAGGGACACAACTGTGAGTCTCCTCAGATGCAATTTTCAAGTTAAAATGAAACTATAAGGACTATCACTGTTTCTTTCCTAACCGCTAACAACACAGGTAAGATACACTTTCTAGAAACGTGGTACAAGAAAGAGGTGGAGTGTCTCCAGAACGTGGAGCTTTGTGCTAGTCAGTGAGGGATCCAGCCACTCCGAACAGGGCCAGAAGCCCAGCCATCTCAGTCAGAAAATGTCAGATGACCCAACAATCTGGGCAACCGAGAATCAGTGGAAAAGGCAGAGAGAAGCAGACGAAGAGTGTCTCGTCCGCTTGTCCTTCTGTCCCCTTGTCCCTCCTATCTCCCACTCTCTCGTGGTTCCCGCTCACCTTCTAATCTCAGCTCAAACAACCCTCCTCAGAGACGCCTCCTAGATCACCCTCCAGGGTACAGCCAGAGCCCGGTTACCCAGCTTCCCAGCACTTGCCATAGCTGTGGCTGCACCCAGGGGTCGTGACTGCTTAGCGCCCATCTCTCCCACTAGACTTTGAGCACAGGGAAGACAAGGACAGTGACTGGATGACTCTCCATTTCCCCTCAGCTCCTAGGACATGCCTGACACTTGGCAGGCGCTCAGTAAACATGTTTACTGAATGAATGGATAAAGGCCATGGGTGTTCAGCGGGGTACATATAGGAGGGCTCAGCAAACACCTATAAAACAACACACACACACACACACACACACAC